TCTCTGTCCAAAATGTCCTTGAAAGAGTGACCTTTGACCTTTAGATGCAGATGGACAGCTGAGTCTTGTCCTGTGGAGGTGGCTCTTCTGTGTTGTGCCATGCGCTTGTGAAGTGGCTGTTTGGTCTCTCCGATGTAGAGGTCTGGGCATTCCTCGCTGCACTGTACAGCAAACACCACATTGTTAAGTCTGTGTTTTGGAGTTTGGCTTTTGGGTGAAAAAGGAATTTAGAGGTATTTAAAAGGTTCCTTCATTTAACAATCTGCTAGAGGGTGTGGGGAGCCATAGCCCTGTCCTCCAGGGCATGAAGCAGGTATGGGGGAGATGACTTTCTTTCTATTGTCACCATTTTTATTTTTCGAGATAAGTCACAGAAAATCTAGTTTTTTATGGATTTGGTGCTTTTTAATAATTATACAGGTGAGGTTGCTGAATGACTTCCTGTCCCCGTCTCTGACGTGATCTTATATGGACAAAATGAACTTTTTACCAGACACTGTGAGGGAAACTTCCTCTTTTAGCTTTGGGTGTTACTTCATCATCACACAGTCTGCTGATTATTGAGCCAGTTTCAGTGCATTCGGTCATATTATATTTAGATCAACAGAGAATGGCTTACATTATTTATAGAGTCAGGGAACAACTTAGTAAATCAGCTGGTTTTCTAATAAGTTTGCCCACTAACAAAGAAATGATCAGTCTGCAATTTCAATGGTAGGTTTATTTGAACAGTGAAAAACAGAACAATAACCAACAAATCCAGAAAATTAAAAAAGTTATAAATTAATTTTAATTTTATGAACGAAGTAAGTATTTGATCCCCTATCAATCAGAAAGATTTCCAACTCCCAGGTGTATTTTATACAGGTAACAAGCTGATATTGGGAGCCTTCTCAACTCATTACCTGTATAAAAGATCTGGTGCTTGGCCCGGTCCCGTAGCTATGGGAGCTGATCTTGATGCACCGCTGCCTGCTTCCAGTGCATGGCGGCTATTTCTGCCAGCATCATTGCCAGTACTTCCAGTGGCTGCAGTGGTCACGGGTCTGTTATCCTGCACCTGGGTTTCAGCACCACTGTGACACTAAGGACCCACACAAACACAATGCTGCAGTGTTCGTTATGTTTATTTGCAGCTTTTTCCAAAGATTGCTCTGTGCAGCTCTACAGCTGAATTGTTCCTGGTCCACCTTGTTAAGTGTTGGTGTCTGCTGCAGGCACGATTGGACCCAAATGCAGCCTTGCAAGTTTTCTCAGGTTTTCTTCTTCTGTTTCAGGATCAGCATGGAGGATCCAAATAATTTACATCCAGAAGAAATTCCTGGAGTGAGAGAAGCACTGGAAAAGAATGACATCGCTGCAGTAGCTGCAAGGATTCACGAATATTTAGAAAGAGAAGACAATGTTCCACTAAATATCGTCATCACAGGGGAAGCTGGTTCTGGTAAATCCGCCTTTGTTAACGCCCTCAGAGAGATGTCCGATGATGATGAGGGAGCTGCTCCTACTGGTGTTACAGAAACCACCTCAGAGGTCACAGAGTACCCCCATCCAAACTATCCCAATGTTACTTTATCGGATCTCCCTGGAATCGGCACCACCAACTTTCCAGCTGATAAGTACCTGGAGCTTGTTGGATTTGAGAAGTTTGACTTCTTCATCATCATCTCAGACACTCGCTTCAGAGAAAATGACGTGAAACTGGCTCAGGAGATTCAGAAGATGAAGAAAAAGTTCTACTTTGTTCGCTCAAAGATCGACCGCGATATACAAGCTGAGAGAAGAAAGAGAGACTTCAGTGAAGAGAGAACTCTTACAAAGATCAGAGACGACTGCGTTCAGAGTGAGTGTCTGATCACTTACAGCTCAGTGGGAGCACTGTACGGATTCACTTTAATATTTGGTTTTACGTGTGTAATCATGTTAACTCCTTCTGTGAAACAGGACTCAGAGAATCAGGCTTCGAGTCTCCGCAGGTGTTCCTGGTGTCCAGCTTTGATCTCCACCTCTACGACTTCAATCTCTTACATGAGACCTTAGAGAGAGACCTTCCTGCACACAAAAGACATGCTCTGCTGTGTGCCATGCCCAACATCAGCCTGGAGATCATCAACAAGAAGAAACAAACTTTCAAGCGCCGATTATATTGGTTGTCCACTCAGTCTGCAGCTGTAGCTGCTATTCCAGTTCCTGCTCTTTCTATTGCTGTTGATTTTGCTTTGTTGGTTGTTGAGGTCACACATTATGTTTTTGCGTTTGGTCTCAATGTCCCGTGTCTGAAGAGACTTTCTGCCAGAACAGGTGTGTCCTACGCTGCTCTGTGTGCTGTCATCATTTCACCACTGGCTGCAGCAGAAATAACTACAGAGCTCCTCCAGAAGGTCATGACTCAAGTGGGACGCACAGCTGTATTAATTGCAGTAGAGGAAGCATCCAGATTTATTCCTTTTATTGGAATCCCATTAGCAATGGGCTTCTCTTTCACCACAACCTACAAAATTCTGAATTTGATCCTTGAAGAGCTCGCTGAAGATGCTCAGAAGGTGTTTGAAAGAGCTTTTAGTCTGAACACATCAGTGTGAATTTGAAAGTAAAAGATGATTGAAACTTAAAAGAGTGCAAATGAAATTAATTGAAATCATTAAATATTAATATACTGAAACCAAATCATGTTGCAGCTGCATATTTGAGCCATTATCCTACTATAGCTGATAAATGTATCAGAGGCCTCAGCAGGTCTCATTTCTTCTCATCACATCAATACAGGAACAAATGTGATGTTATTATTCAGATAAAACCTGCTAGAAGAGCTTTGTTCTAATCCTTTGTCTGATTTGGTGATGTCATCACTGTTTACAGATCAGGTAATGTGATAGTTGCTCCTGAAACAACATCGTCTGAATTTCCTCTGTGTGATTTACTTTGTGATAAAACTCTTTTATTATCATATTGTCGCTTATAGCATAATAAATACTTTTAATGCAGAGTGTTTGATGATGAACAGAGGTGTGTAGA